TTATAGGGTACTTTCCCATCTTGAAGTCAGAATCTGATGTTCAGTCTCAAGCTTCTTTTGAATATCTGAAGGCTTTCGGGTCCCGATGACCTTGTGTCTGTTTTGATGTGATAGTCTTCATTTAAGTTTAGGTGAAATCCTGACTCATACTCCATATTCTGTATTCTGTAGTCTAAACATAACATAGAGGAGCTTTAAATACTTCTCCCAAGTTCCACTTTTAAATATCTAGAATTAAAATGAAATGAACCTCAAATGCCTTCCTTGAGATGTGTAGATTGTAATAACAAAGCAATACTATTTGTGCTTCTATCTCTGGACTCTTCTCTTGAAGAGAAACTCAAAAAAAATTAGTTGCTAAGACCAGTAGTTGACCACTCTCATCTGGATAGACAAGAAAAGGCATTAATCCGGCTGTGGTAAAGTAATATAAGGCATTCCAAAGTCAATAAGAAAACTTCTAAATATTGTTTTTCATCTCTCATTTAATCTCCCATGACATTTTTACCTATACCAAATATCAACTGACATTTTGACACTTGCTTTTTACATCTTCTAGATTGGAGGTTCCCAAGGAAAGAACTTGTTTTACTTATCATTGTGGCTTCTATAGTAGCACTGTGCTTTCCACAAGCTTCATACATTATATTTACTATTTGAAAATTTAATTCCAGGAAATAAGACATGTGTAATATGCTAATTGATCTCATTCAGATGGATTTTTCACTCTACATTTTTCCTCTAAAATTAGCCTTCTTTTATTATTGCTTTCTTTCTGTACTCAACTCTTTAGAGGAGTGTGCACGGTCTTCGCTCATTCTCGCCTGAAATGAACCTTTGAAATGTCATAAAATATTCATCGGTACCTGTAGCCTTACTATGTAAAAGCTACACCTAATATGAAAACATTAACTATTAAACAAAGAATGATAGTAGCTAATTCAAAGTTGTTCAGTACTTATAATGTAAATGCTTTATATGATTTTAGAAAAGTATTTGAAAGTTAATATTGACTTTTTGGCAATGACATATAACTGTACATATACATTTAATTGTGCTTGTTCCTAAATCACCACTGTAACCACTCAATTTTTTTTCTACAATCTAAAAAGGAATTTCCAGAGATATTTATCAATATTTATTCCATAAGAAACCCAAATTTTAAAGTGTTTCATTTAAAAATTAATCCATTAAATGGTTATGTAAATTTATGAAAAATAACTATCAAAACAAAAAACACGAAGTCTGGTATTGTTTTATATTTCCACAAATCTCTTTAATGTCTATTAGAGGACAGCTAAATCTTTGTATCTACTTATGCATTCTGTTGTTGAGCTATGTTGTCTGGCTTGAAATAGTCAAGGAAATCCAATCTCACACATATATGTAGCTTTTCACATGCTTGTTAACAGCCTTTTTGGATAATCATATTGTTCTCTGATACTGTACCAAAAGCTGACAAGACGTTTTCTAAAGGTCAGTTGCAATATGGAAGCTGAAACCATAAGGATCTTTTTGTATTGTTCTATTAAAATCCATTGGTCTAGCTGGCTTTTTGAATGTATCTCTTATTAACTTACATTGGTCATCAGAAAATACTGGTTCACTAAGTTATGCAAATCTTACAAATACAGACACATTTTAGCACATATCATTTCATAGTAGGATGCTATCAAGCTCAGGGTCTCCAAATATGTTTTCTAAAATCCTAACTTTTCTTAGAAAGCTCAAATTTTATCATTGACAAGTATTTTCATTTTTCTCGAAATGTCAGGATCAAGTAGTTTGAGAAAAATGTTAATGATTCATTCAAATCTGATACTTTGTGGGACTACTTCAGTTTACGAGTCATTTACATGTTTTTCCTCGACCATCACACATCATTGCTTCTGTTATCTGTTTCAAATTCAGCTGGAACGCGTGCAGTGCTTTATGTATACTTGCTCTTTTGTCACAGGATACTTAAAAGATGTGCACTCAAGGGCTGAGATTTAATAACATTAATAACTTCCACTGCTTCTTTATTGAAGGCATTCTTAGGTGAGAGATTTAATTTGGAAAGTTCCCAGCAGTAAAGAATACAATGACCAATTTAATGACTACTAATCCAGTGTAGAGCTATTGCCTTGACTGGTCCTCGGGGCCAGCAGTTTTACAGACCATCGCTTTTCTACCTGAATCTTTTACTGACATTAAACCACCAAATACTCAAGATGAACATAGCTGCTTTTCCCATGGAAGCATGTTGCTTAATATTTTATGAGAAGCCCAGTCTTGTCTTCAGAATGTATTTTTTTAATTGTGATAAAATAGACATGTTACCGTCTTAAGGATTTTTAATTGTACAGTTCAGTAATGTTAAGAATATTCTCATTAGCAAAACTAATATTACATGCATTTAGCAACTCCTAATCCCTCCCTACTCCCAGAAATGTAGGTTAATAATATATCTATATATATATACATAGCATATATATCAAGATGATATATAGATTAAGATTTTATGAAAATAACCAGTATTTTTCTCATAGTCATAAAGTAAAACCCAGAAACATTTGAAGAGTTACATTTTGCCTTCTGTGCTTTCTTGCAATTTCCTAAATCTAGTAAAATTTTTGCTTTTCTTCTGAATGAAACCTGAAAATATTTACTTGTGACAGCTTAACATTTCCTTTTAAAAACACCTGAGTGACATCAACATCATGGCAAAGAAAGAAGACCCCTTTCTCTCTCCTCTTAAAATTACTACAAATCAGACACCTATAATTCAAAAAAGGTTCCCCTACTCAATGCACAACCATGCATGAAAGATCCACACATCGGTATATCTGGAGGGCATTTTAGGAGTAGGGGAGTACAGGGAAGGACAGGGATGGCAGCTACAGATACAGTTCAGCACCTGCCAGTGGTCCCATCTAACTGGATAGTGGTAGAGGAGCTAGGCTGTGGCACACACACACAGCATATGGCCCAGAGAATAAGGAGTACAAGAAACAGCATCCCTGCCCAAGAAGCCAACTGCCTTCCCCACATCCCATTGTGGTAGAACTTGGTAACAGTGGCTGAGATGTGTTAAATAGCATAGTGGTGCCAGCGGGCATTACTAACAAGAAGGTAGTGCTGCAGACTGGTGAACATAAGTCCTTCCTCTCACCCATCTTGGTAGAACCCAGTAGAGGCAGTAGAGTTGTAGCAAACAGCACAGAGGGGTTGGAGGCCATTAGTAAAAAGGAGGCAGCAGTGGGAGTTTGCAAACCCGATTCTCTACTACCCGCCATATTCTCCATCACAGTGGTGGTGCCCAAAGACCAAGGCAACCCACCCACCTACGTGGTGGATACACAATTTCCACCACCAAAGCAACATAGTCCCACCGCAATCTCAGAGGCACAAGTAGCACAGGTAAGAAGAAACAAAAACTTGCACTATAGCACCATCTACTGGAAAACATAAGACCTGTGCTTATCAACCTGACCAATTAAGAGCGAAACAGTATCTAAACATAGGCATTCACTACCTCAAATATGTAGGCAGAGAAACAATCCATCCAGTCCTGTGAATAATCAAGATAACATGGTAGCACAGAAAGAAAACGAAGTCTCCAGAAACCAAAGTCATGGAAAACTGTGATTTAAATGACAGGGAATTCAAAATTGCAGTTAAGAAACTCAAAAAGACACAAGAAAGCTCAGTATGGCAGTTCGATGAGCTCAGAAATAAAATTAATACGCAAAGTAGCACTTTGAAGAGATTGAGACTATAGAAAAAAAAGCAAAAATAAATTCTGGAGCTGAAACTCAATAAATGAGATGAAGAACGCATGAAAGAACAGTGGAAATAGAGCAGACCATATGGAAGAGAGATTAGCAAGCTCAAAGATAAAAATCTAGAACTATTTCAGGTGGAAGGAAAATTAAGAATTAAAAAAATGAAACTATGAAATCTGACACCATTAGAAAGAGCAGTATGAAGATTAATGGGTAGACCAGAAGGAGAGGAGAGAACAGAGAGTCTATTCAAACAAGTAATTGATCAGAACTTCCCAAACCTGTGGAAGGAGCTAGACATTCAAATAAAGAACCTAACAAAACATGTAATTATCTCAATGAAAAAAACTTTCTCTAAGACACAATACACTAAAACTATCAAAAGTTAATGACAAAGAAAGAATTCTCAAAGAAACTAGGCAGAAAAAAAGACAGTAACCTACAAAGGAAATCCCATCAGATTATCATAAGATTTTTCAGTATAAACAGTACAAGCCAGGAGTGAAATTATATATATTCAAAATATTAGAAGAAAACCACCAGCCAAGAATAATACATTCTTCACATATGAAGGAGAGATAAAGACTTTGCCAGACAGACAAAAACTGAAGGAATTCACTGCCACAACACCTGAAATATAAGAAATGCTTAAAGGAGCTCTTTGACCTGAAACAAAAAGATTAAAGTACACAAAACTTTGAGTAAGAGGGCAAACAGAAAACAGAAGCAGGAAATAGTATTTCAGACTATTAAACATAACCAGAAAACAAAACAGTTGTAGTTAAGTCCTCACATATCAATAATCACCGTAAATGTATATAGCTGAACTTACCAATCAAAAGGCACAACAGAGAAGTGGGATGAATTAACCCATTTCTCATCTGCCTTGAGAATATTTGCTGGTGGCCCTTAAGGCTGCAACGTTTACTCTGAGATAACTCACATATTACAGTCCTAACCTTACCCCTAATGTTTGCAACAAAATATCTTTTTGTTATTACTTTTGCATCACTTTAGTACATGGAGAGTCTTTGGAAACAAATGACATCATTCTATTTATAGCATTCTGTTTTTAGTAGTAGTATTTCCATTTACGAAATACAGTAATTCTCGATTGCTGAAAATGTCATATCCTAGAAAATGTTCCTCAATAAATTTAATTATGAAAAGACAAAACACCTTTCTAAAATGCGTCCTGTTGTGAGGGTGAGAAATCAAACACAAAACAATCCATTATGATTTCAAATATATTTTTTTAAAAAATAAATGTTTATTTCAAGTATGTAAGTAAGGTTTTGACATCATCCAAAATTCTGTTCAGTTTTAACAAGTATAAAACAAGACTTCTGACAAAAAGTTTACAATTAGGTATAAAATACTTAGGAATATACTTTGACATTCAGTGAGCACTTTTAAAAACTAAGTTCTGCTAATAAGTTTTAGAAACAAAAATATATTTGCAGTCTCGGCAAAAATAAACAAGTCCTTAACTGAGGAATAGTCCTGCCTCAGAATGGATAGTTAGCATTTCAAAATAAGTTTTGTGTAAGAATTTCTTTTAAAATATGGTGAACCTGGCTCAATAATTTTAAAATTCAATACCTTATGGTTTCCCTGACAAATACCATCATCTACATCTTATGTCTGCTATCCATAACTAAGGTTCTCAGCCATTTTAATTAAGTAATTCCACTGATAAAAATAACCTAAGTGGTAACCAAACTCTGACCAAGAAATTTTATCAGAGCCATCCTATTTCCAGTAAAATATTCTGAACAGAAAATGAGAGAAATTTTCTCATTTTAAAGGACTGCTACTAAGGCTTCTGCTTCTCTTCTCCATGTACATCTTTTTGTAGGTTTGAAACATTGCTTTTGAATCCTTTACTGGGTTTTGTATTATCTCAAATCCATCTGCACTGAAGGTTCTCTTGACGACTCTTGAATTAGCCACATTATCATCATCTACGGAAACAAAAATTTCATTTATTTACTTTATTATTACTGTAACATTAGTGACCAATATACAGTCAATCAAAACACATCGAAAGTACACATTCTTCTCTGAGATAAAAAATTAGGGTGAGGAGTTAAGTCAGACAAACTATGGCTCTTTTCCGATTGAATTATAAATTATACACATGGCACATCTTGCCTCTCCTTCGGGGGCTATTTTCTACTTTCACTCCTGTCTTCACCGCCCAGGGCTGTTCTGCTCTACCCTTTTCCTTGCTCGATAAAAATCTCATTTATCATTTGCACACTATTACAAATGTGACCTTCTTAACAGCAATCTAAATATGAAGAGCACAAACATCAGCCAGTTTTAAACAGCGGATAGTAAAATTCTGGCCTTGTTATGCATTAGGCATTCTAAGATATGCCTGTACTTCTGTTTCATTAGACCGGTTCAGTGTGCATTAACCTCACCATTCCTTTTTTTGATAGGCCCAGCTTTACATACTTCTGTGCCTTTCTAGATGTGCTCCTATCTCACTATTTCCTATTTTTTCCTGCTTTTGCCATTCTTCTCTGGATGACAGATTTGTTTTACCTATTTCTGCCTAGGCAGGTCAAGTATTCTGTCTTCTTTAACTGTTTCAAATTCTTTTATGCCCTTGTTATCCTTCTTTCATGACATGAGTAATGCTGATGGCCTGAGTTGGGTCTCTAAGTTGCTTTCCATTGGATTCTGTTACTTCTTCTTCAACCTTACCCTGACCGGTAGTTTTCTAACTTGCTCTATCCACACTCCAAACTTTGCTACCAAATTTAGATGTATACTTTAAATGTTTCTGTATAGCTGTTTGGGAGTTTGTGACATTTGTTTTTGTCTCACTTCACACAGGTTTCCCATTCTCCAGTCTCTTCATCTTGGTCTATGTTTTATCTTTCACTCTTTTCCTGACTCCATTCAGATTGACAGAGTTCGATGACTTATATCTTCGCTTTTCTCTCAAGTTGCTGCAAATCTCATTGTGCTTATACTCTGGTTTGTGTTTTTTCCATGATTCCGAGTACTGATATTCCACTTTCACTGTTTATTGCTCATCCTAGATGTGGCTGTTTTTATGCCTGTCATTTAGCTCATGCTTATCTCTGAGCCTCTTTGGTCAACCTGTGCATGCATGTGTTTCCCAAGTAGTTTCATATTCAGATTCCAATTATGAACTGGAATCTCTCACCTTCTCTATGAGTTAACATTTATGTCTCTCCTGTTTCTAAGGACCTTTCTTGCCCCTATTTACATGTCCATTTCCATCTTTTGCATTTTTGACTTCCCATGTTCCAAATTTAAGTCTTTTCTACTCTCAGATCCCTTTTCTGGTTGTTTTCCTGTTTTGATTAAACATTTCTCCTTTGATTCAACTTTAGTTTTTCCCTACGTGCATTTTCAATGTGTAGGACTCAGTTTCTACATGTATTTGTGCTTTTAGCTCTCTTCTAAATCTGTCACATTCCTCTTTTAAAGAATGTGCTTCTCTTTTGTTGCTCACGGTGGAATTGTTTCTCTCCATTTCCGAGCGACTATAAACTCTTGTCGTTACATATTCGACTGACCAAAATAAGATAAAACTTCTGAACCCTAGCTTCTCATTCTTAATGCAAAAGCCTAAAAACAAACTACATTCATTCCACTAATTAAATCGGATACTAAAAACTTTGTTTTTTCTGGTTTGGCCCTCAGCCCGAATCCCTCCTCAACCAAAAAAAAATATTAACTAAGAGCATCAGTCTCTCATCATCAAAATAATTCAATTATACATTTAATAAACATCAAGAGAGGGAATCCAGTTCAAGTCCCTAATATTCAGTTAGGAGCCTTACAATTTTAGTCAAGTGATCTAAGCTGTCATTGATAAAATGGGAACATCCCTGCCTACCTGGTTTTGAGATTTAAATGAATTGCCTTGCAAATCATCTAATCCAAGGGTTGGCAAAGAAGGTATGGCCTGCAGGCCAATCCCAGCCTCTAGCCAGTTTTGGTAAAAAAAAATTTTTTTAAGTTTAATTGCAACATAGCCCATAACATTCATTTATTATTTTATGGCCCATAATATTCATTTATTATTTTCTCTTACTATAATGTCAGAGATGATTATTTAGGGGAGAGAGACCTTACAATCCACAAAACCTAATATTTATTGCCTTGTCCTACACAGAAAAATTATGCCTATCCTCATCTAACTCATTGTGATGAGAATTACTTTCTTGTTAAAAGCAAACAGATCACTGCTTCCCTCTCCACGGCATGAGAGAAAATAGGAGAGAATGTCTTCCAACCCTGTACATACAAATACTGAATCATTTAAAAATGAATGTAAATAAAAATCCAACATCATAATAGTTTTGTAAGTATAACCCAGCTTATAAATGACAGAGTGATAAAGAAATGATTTTACCTATTTCTTGGTTGGCTTCTGGAATCCTTTTCTCCTCAGGTATGTATTTTATCCAGTCTTCTTTTGTACTTTTTATTCCTGAAACTATTTAAATATTCATTTTCAGATGTCTAGATATTGCCAGTTACCACTTTTATTACTATAATGAATGAAAATCGGGTAAGCATAAAAGAGATTTTAAAAGGCATTAAATATATTCACAAAACAATCCTAAAAAGGACCTAAAAAAGTACTTTCTCCCATTTGAAGCTCCTAAATAATCTCACGCTAGAAAATTAGTTGTTTTAAAAGTTTGTCTTCACTATGTAAATTATGTTTCTCCTACTTGGGGTGAACGCCCAACGCATCTCAAGGTATTTAAGGGCACATGATAGAAAACATCATTCACACTGCCCCCACCCACTTTCAATGCTCCTATTACATCCATGCCTCAAATTCTGAGGATATCTAGTTATAAGCACCAAGTGAAATCATCAGTACTTTACAAAATGAATTTTATACTTTTAATCATATATCCCTATCACCTTCCAAGAAAATGTACCTTATTTACACTGTAATTTTACGTACCCAGTTACCACCTAAAAGGCACAGGAGATACTAAGGTTTCCATTCAAATCACTTAGTTTTCCAATCTGGGTTTCTCGGCACAATGTCTTATATGTAACATCCACAACCCATAAATGTTTCCTTACTACCACAAATAATTAGTCATCTATTTATTCCTTCCCTCCTATACTATGTGAGAATTCTACCATTCAGCTAACCAATAGTTGCATTTGCCTTCCTGGGTTTGGTGACTTAACACTAGACAGTACTGTTTCCACAGTCCTCCTTCATGAGTAGACTAGATGTTACCACTTTAACTTCAATAACAGTCACCAACTGCTTTAAAGATGGTAAATGGATGAACCTTTTATACGTAGTATAAAAAGATATCTTTAATAATCATTACATACCTCCTAACAGACCAAAATTTCAAATTCACAGGACTTTCAAATTGCAACTCCGAAGGAAAATCAACAAAAGTAAACTTGAAATAATGTACATAAGACACTTTTCTAGCTTAACACAATACACGTTTTTCACTATATAAGGTTCTTGGCACACCTTACAATTTTACATGCCTCATCATTGGTACAAACAGTACAATTTACAATTAAGGGAAGACAAACTTAAAACAAATATTGCCTGATGAACACCGATTTACTGAGAAAAATAATAAGTAATGGCAAAATGTGTTCATCTTTCACAGCTACCCAAGATTGCAGGAGAGGTGCTAACCTACTTGATCTACGACTCTTTACAATGTTGTAGACACCATCAAAAACAAACAACAACAAAAAAATATATACTGGACCTTGCACAGGGACTTGCTCCTTCCCAGGACAAGACTGCAGATTCTTCTGGCCTTCACTGGAGTTTGTACTCTTATTAATTAATCCATCTGGACATAATTTAAACTCCAGCATGCTTCGTTTTTCTGTAGCATCTTTCTTAGGTAAAATGCTCTTCGGCTTATTTTCCAGTCTCTTCTCTTTCTCTTTATTAAACTTCCTAGGTAAACTTTCTAATTTTGTGAGACAAATGCTCTCACGTTCAGTGCATTTAAATGCAACTCTGTTCAGATATTGTTTCCTTTGCTCCTTTGCTTGGGGAGACATCTGGCTGAATTCAACTTCATTATTTATATTAACATTTTTGTCTAATTTATCAATCCACATTTTATCAGGTTGCTTTCCACCAGCTGTACCTTTAACATTCCTTGAAATGTGTGTTTTAGACCCCTTGGAACGGTGGATTTTGAGGATTTTACCATGGCTTGTACAAATATTTAATGACTCTTTAGAGGTCTGTACACTACTATGTCTCTCATTTGATTTCCCACTCTCAATTTGCATAGAGTGTTTACTGGACCACATGGACTGAGAATCACATGGTGTATTTTTCGCATAGCTTTTCTTTGATGCTTTGCTACCCATTGCTTCTTTATGCTTCTGCTTTTGTAAATACTCTTGTGACAGAACTCTATTAATTTTAGATGAACTATCCTTAGAGCCTGAGGACTTGACATTTGATACTGTCTTTTCTTTAACTCTAGCTCTTTCAGTTGGGGTTGACAAAAAATTATGCATTTTAAATGTACCACCTCCATTTTTATTCTGCCCTTGTTTATTGTATTTCATCCTCTTTATCTCAGAATCAAGTATGCTCTCTTCTTCTGACTTCCTTTTTTCTAAAACTTTTTGTTCAGAGTCATCTGTTTTCAATTTTCTCTTTTCTGGCAATACTGACTGTACTGAAGAACCATTCTTCACGTGCAGATCTTTATTTGTCAAAAAACCTGTCTTTGCTTTTAGTGGACGTAACTGTGCTATGAGCTTCCTCTGCAGACTCTCTTGAGAAAATTTTTTATTACTAGACTGAAAAGTTACCTCATGAAATTTCAGTTTTCTTTTGTGACTTTGTGAGGAATCTATGTTTTTATCACCTTCAGATAAAGGCTGACCAGATAATTCCTGTTTTGTCTTTGTTTTTAGAGAGCTGTTATGTTTTATTTTGAATATATCTTCTATATACTTGCTTTGTTCTATTTCAGGAGAACATTCTTTCTCATCTGGAAAAGTCAGAGCAATCTTTGGATTGTTACTTGGAGGACTATAAAACCCAAAAAGAACATCTCTATCAGAGGTACTCTCTTCTTGCTTACAACTGTTGGTCTCCAATGGAGAACACTGATCTTTCCCTTTTTCTTCCTTTGAAGTAGAGTTCTTGATGGAATCACACTGGCATTGGGGCACTCCATCATAAACCATAGAAAGCCACCCCAATGCACAGCAATCGACATCATCTTTCTCAGAATCCAGTATTAAAGGATTACGACTTCCTCCATCTGTATGTACTTGTGGGTCACACTGACTCCTTTCTTCTGTGACAGGCTTTGCTTTCTGAGGTTCTGTTGGTTTGTCTACCTCACAGTGTTGATTGCCCTGTTCAGGAAATATTTCTTTCATTTGCTCTGAGTTTAATATTGTAATTTGTATTTGGTCTGTTGAGTCTTTTGAGTCACAGCTGGTTTTATCACAAGACTGATCTTTTGAGATTTGGTCTGTTATTTGTTGTGCCACAGAACCTTCATGTGTGTTCATAGGTTCAATACCATAGGGAAATTCTTTTAACAGTTCTGAAAGCTGATCATGTAGGTATAAGATGGATGTCTTATCATCAAGAATCTCATTTTTTGCAGGATCCTGGGCAGTGTAATTGCAGGACACATCAATTTCCTGAGGGTTACCATCCTGTTGAGTAGCAGCTGATGAACACGTATCTTTAGCTGTGCTTTCTTGTTTATTGATATGCTCCAAGTCATTTTCCTCTCGAATTTCACTATTTGATTCTGGAAGTTGCAGTGACTTTGATTGATCAGGCATTTTATGTGAAACATCTGTGTGCTGTACATTATCTTTTTGAAAACCAAAGTCTTTATTTTCATTGATGTTGTCTGATGGTTCTTTTTGTTGTCTACTACTAATCACTTGATGATTAAGTAGAGATTTCTGTGACTCGACTTTTTTCACAGGCGAGTTGAATATCTTTGCTATTTGAGAATTATAAGATATATCACCTTCAACAAGAGAACAAATATTGTCAATCTGTAACATATCACTATTCACAATATCACTGTAGGAGGCCTGCTGATCACTCATAGGATAGTGAATATCAGGCTCTGATTTGATATGCTTTCCTTGATTGGCATTAGGTGTGTCTTCTGAATTAACATTAGTTGACTCATTTTGCTTTTCTTTCAGAATAAGTGGGAAAATCTTGGTGCTAGTTGTACTTGCTACTGGTTCATTAGCTTTCGAAGCAGTAGTAACTCTTGTATTTTCTGCCAATTGATTCTGTAAGCTACAAACACTTCCTTCTTTAATAACAGGATACACTGTTTCAGATAAAGCTTCAGATGTTACCGCTTTGACAGGCAATGTTTTGACATCTGAAAGAATTAAAGGTGACACTACAGCAATCTGAAGTTCTGTTCCTTTTGTAATAGTGGCACCCGAAGACTCATAATTCTGCACTACCATTGACAAAATTGTTTCTTGTGAGCTGTTAATCATCTTATTCTGAGAATTTCCCACAACTGAAACTGGACTCTTATCACAGATTTCCACAGGCTTTGAAATTCCAATTGCTATTTTGTTTGTTCTTGACTCATTACACTGTTTGTTTCCTGTAGATTCTGAAGGCTGCTTTTTCCACAGAGAAAGGCATGTTGCTAGCAATTCCATGGAACACTGACTGTCACTTTTCGAAGACATTTCATTTGCTGAGGATTTATGCTCAAGGCAAGAAATGCCTGAAGTCTTGGCATTCATGTTACAAATACTTGGAGTTTCCATGTTTTTCAAGTTCAGTTGGTTACCAGTGATTTGGGTATTGGGACTCATTTCAAAACTATGTGGTTCAGAATCCTGAACAGTTCCATGAACATCTTTTAATAATGTCTTTTCAATTTTATCTCCATGTGCAAGAAGACTGAGAAGTAACCTATTTTTATTTAGATATTTTGAAGGTAATTTCTCAAAAGCCTTAGGCTGAGGAACAGTAGTTGTTTCAGATTTCGTTGGCACATTTTCTTCAATGCCGAAAAAATTTTCTGAGGAAAACTGGGTGTTATTTAATGTTGCATGGGTACTCCCTACAGTTGATGTCTTTAAAGTTGTAACTTTCAAATCATTTAACTTTTCTGGCACTGTCAACTTTCCTGAACACACAGGATTTTGTAAAATGGAACTGACCTGGTTAAAATTTCTGCAATTGGTGTCCTGAATGTTGGAATTCAAGGTACTTTGTGTTCTACTTGTTTCTTCTGCAGTTTCCATTACTGTTGGTGGTTTGTCCTCTGCAGGCGCTGAAGTAACTATGGTTACTTGTGGTCCAGGAAGGATTTTGGCAGTTTGTTTCTGAGACAGTTCAGAATTTTGAGCTGATTCATTACAAGAGATTTTAGTTGTTTTACTACAACCTGCTGCTATCAAAAGACCTTTACTAATTTTAATTTTCCTTGCCAGTTCAGAGAATTTCTTTTTTATTTCTACCAATGTTTTAATATCCCTCACTAACTTTTCTTTTGTGGCGCTTGTGTCTAGTACTTGATTTGAAGTTAGAGTGCAAGAATCCCCTCTTTCCTCTTGATTATTTTGAGTAAGAATCTGAACAGCATCCAAAGAAGATCCAATAGGTTCATTAAAAGGCTGACTGACATCAGTGTTTACTTTCAAGTTACAGAAATGTCCAATCGTGCTGGCATTTTCATTAAGGTTTTGCCACTGCTGTTGAAAGCCTCTGCAAAAGTCTTTCCTTATTTCAGGTAAGTGTGTTTCCTGACTCTGAGGAACTTCCATAGAAGAGTGTTTAATAACATGCTGAGTACTTTGCAAAGGCTGGCTTGCATATCTACAGTCATAAGGAGGAGGAGGTCTTTTGTCGGTATGAGTGAATGCATATTGAAAGGAATGTACAGCTGCAGTCTGCTTTGACTGTAAAGTCAGTGTAGAATTTGGAGGGTGACTATTTTTAACTTGTAACGATGTAGGTGGCAAAGGAGTTTGTGTCTGAAGTGTAGGATCTTGCAAAAAGTTTTGTGATGAATAACTGTATTGCTTTGGAAGTGGTCTGTAATCTGGATAGGTCAGTCCATTGGATGTATACTGTTGTGCCCAGTTACCCTGTCGCTCCGATAAAGATGAGTTAAGTTTCCGGTTACCTTGATAAGTTATAGGAATTCTTATAGAATTAGAAGGAATCATTTGTACTTGCATAGAATAGGTATCCGATGTTACAAATTGATTCTGTAGTGTGTGTGTATTGAGTGTATTAGTTCCAAAACCAGTTTGTTGAGGTACAGTTGCCCCTGTATGAGAAAGTGTAGAATTTCTCACTGGTGGGTTCAACCACACATTTTGAGCAACTCCTGAAGGCATTTGCAAATTGTGATTTAGCTGTTTGGGTCCTTTAACATTTGCATATGTAATTTTTTCTACCGAAGTCTGCGAGGCCACAATTGTCCCACTCTGCATATCAGAAACAGAGCTCTGTTGAGGAGTTTTATAATTTCTGATGTTGAACAGTGGCTGTGAAACTGCATTTGAATTACTGAGAAACATGCATGCTTCTTGGTTACTTCCAGGGTAGTTTAAAGAATTTTGAGATGGTGTGTTTATTAAAGTTGTCTCCAAAAAAGATGATTGGTTTTTAGGATACAATGGTGGTAAGGTGACACTCTCTGGGTTTATGTTCCAATTCATTGTTGAGTTGATGTATTAGCAGTGTATTAAAAGTCAGTTCTTTTTGAATGTCGAGAATCTGTAGGAAAGAAATATCATTTATTACCAAAACTGTTTAGCCCAGAGAGAACATCTAAGAAAATTAGTTTACCTTAATATTAATGCTGACTACATCATAATTCCTGAAACCTTAGACTAGACAAATCCTCATTTTTAATTTGGGAAAGAGGAATAGCAAAAGTGGATTCAACAATAAATACAACAAATGTTAATAAAATCTCTAGGGTATTTAATAGGAATTCATGCTACATAATACAGTTAGCACTTTATGTTTAAGTGGTGATTACTTTCTGCTTTTATTGTTAACTAGCTCTTTATTCTAAGTAACCCACGCTCACTATTTTAAGAAGTTCAAACATATTACTGTCCATCTCCATACTCCCTAAGGGTATCTACTGTCGCCTTCTCTCAAAAACTTTCCATACATAAAAAACAATAATACATAAATAAAACTTGATCTTTTAAACAAATGGAATCCTACCAAACACACTGTGTACAGTTTGCCTGATTTTCATTACTATACCTAGAATATCTTATTTTACCACACACATTTCTAACCTCATTGTCAGCATAATATTCTATTTTATGCATATATCACCATTTAACCAGTAATGTATGGACTAGATACAGGCATACCTCTTAAATGTATTGTGTTTTACTTCACTGCACCTCACAGATGTTGCATTTTTTACAAACTGAAGGCAAGAAGCTCAATGGGTAAAAGATTACAACTCGCTATTGTGATATTTTATTGTGGTGATCTGGAACTGAACCCACAATATCTCCAAGGCACGCCTGTATTTGGTTTCCTTAAGTTTTTGCACTTATAAATTTTACTAAGCATTCTTGTACTTATGCTTTTATATTTCTACTAAACATTTCTAGAAATTCATAGATGTGAAATCAATGTGTCGAAAGACATTAAAACTATTTTCATAAACAGTGACAAAACTGCATTCCAAAAAAGTTGAAATAAGTTTACTCTCACCAACAGTATACTGAGAAGCCTAACAATGGACAAATCCATATCCATAGTAAATGATAAAGGAAAGATAGATTAAAAATAAATTTGACTTACATGAATACTACACTCAACAACTTCAGAATATACATTCTTTCTAAGTGCATGTGAATTTTTACTGATATTGACCATATGGCTGGACCATAAGCAAATCTCAAATTTCAAAGCTTAAAATAATCCAGTGCAATTCACAGTGGAATTAATCTAGAAATTATAGAAAAAATGTAGCTAGAAAATTGCAAAATAATTGAGAAATAAAGCATGCACTTTATATTCAAACAGTGAGAGAGAGAGATCTCTGGTGTCTCTTTCTAATGACACCAGTCCTACTGACTTAGGGACCTACTCCTACAACCTCCTAGAATTACCTCTCTAAAGGCCCCATCACCAAATACAGTCACATTGGAGGTTAGTGCTTTAACGTATGAACTGGGGGGTGGGGCACACAATCCATTTTGTAACAGGTTCCCATCCCCATGTTTACATAAGACTTGAAGACATTTTATAGCATTAAATACTTATTTTTAAAAAGGAGTGGGAAACAATCTCCACATTTATCACAAGAAGTGAGAATAAGTTCAACTACAGAAATAGAATAGAGTGAAATAAACACAAAATGAACAAAAATACAAAGACTCAACAAGCCACAAGATGGTTCTTTAAAAAGAATAATAAAAATCATTAAGCCTCTGACAACACTGTTCATGAAAAAAATACAACATAATATTGGGAAAGGAGGCTATCACTAGACCCTACAGACATTAAAATGATAAGTATTTGAGTAACAACTCAAATACATTTAAAATTTAGGTGGATTGAAGAAAATCCTTGAAAATCACGGCTAACCAAAACTGACGTAAGAATACCACATCTCTTTTAAAGAAATTACACTTATAATTAATTATAATTTAAATAAATAAATTACAGGAATACAAGGTTTGCCATTTGAAAATTAACCAAATTACAATAATTTTAAAAATCATGTAATTATTTCAACAGATGGAAGAACTTTTGATGAAATCCAATATCCATTCATTAAAAGAACAATTTTATCAAACCAAGAATAGAAATTTCCTTAATTTTAATAAATACTAACTTCAAAAATTTAGACGAACAAAAATGTAGATGCCACTATCACCCCGTTATTGTATCAGAGTACTTAAAAAGTAAGAACTGGGAAGGAAAACATAAAACTGACTACTCATGAAGAAAATGCAAAAACAATCTACTGATCTTTCAGTTGTGACTAGCATGATGAGACAGGAAGAAATAGAACACGAAAAGGCAAATTATGCAACACCAAAAAGTTTTGTATACAAGGGTGACCATTATTTCATCAAAGAAACTGAAACATTATTAGACCAAAAGACAGTACTATGAATAACCAAAATGACAGGCATAAGAAAAGACTGCCTCTGGACAACCCAATGATATGCATCTAGACTAGCAGGCATCAATCAATGTTTGTTGAATGAACAAACATTATCTTTAATTGTCAAATACCAAATTAAAAAGAAGTCCTTATTTAAACTTATAGACGGGAAAAAGTTCCTCCTCTCTCTTCTTTATATCTATGCCAACCATACACGTCACATGATTTCATCATTAAGCATTTCAGTACCTCAAAAATGACTTCTTAAAAAACGTATATATAAAGGAAGAACAAATGAAGCCTAAAGTCAGCAGAAGGAAAGAAATAATCAAAATTAGAGCAGAAATAAATGAAATTGTAAACCAAAAAAAAAAAAAAGAAAAAGAAAAAGAAAAAATAACAACAACGAAGAGCTGGTTCTTTGAGAAGGCTAATAAAATTGACACACCCCTGGCTAGATTCACTAAAAAAAAAAAAAAAGACACAAATAAACAAAATCAAGGATGAAAAAGGGGAAATTATGACTGGCATCGCAGCAATACAAAGGATCATATAAGAATACTATAAAAAAAGTATATAAGAATAACAAATTTAATAACCTAGAAGAAATGAACCAGTACTTAGAAAAATACAATCTTCCTAGACGGAATCAAGAAGATCTGGAAAATCTAAATAGATCGATAAGCAGCATGGAAATTGAAACACTCATCAAAAACCTACCAAAAAGTAAAATTCTAGGACCAGATGGCTTCACAAGTGAATTCTACTAAACCAATACTTCCCAACTCATTTTACTAGGACAGTATTACCCTATTACCAAAACCTGGAAAAGAGAACACAAAAAAAGAAAATTATAGACCAATATCTCTCATGAACACGGATGTAAAAATCCTAAATAAGATACTAGCGAAGTGAATACAGCAACATATTAAAAGGATTATACACCACAATCAAGTGAGCTTTATCCCAGAAGCAGACAGATGGTTCAGCATATGTAAATCATTAATGTGATATACCACATAAACAATTAAAAAAAAATCATATGATCATATTGAAAGATGCAGAAAAAGCCTTCGACAAGATACAGCATCCATTTATGATCAAAACACTTAACAAAACCAGTATAGAAGGAAAGTACCTTAACATAATAAAGGCCATCTATGACAAACCCCCAGCCAACATCATACTTAATAATGAAAAACTAAAAACCTTCCCTCTAAGATCAAGGAACAGGGCAAGGCTGTCCACTATTGCCACTATTATTCAATTTAACACTGGAGATCCTAGCGAGTGCAATCAGGCAAGAAAGAGATATAAAAGGCACCCAAATAGGAAACGAAGAAGTCAAACTGTCACTATTTGCGGATGACATGATTCTCTATATAGATAACCCTAAAGACTCCACAAGAACACTACTAGAAACAATAAGCAAATACAGTAAGGTCTCTGGATACAAAATTGACGTTCGAAAATCCAGCGTTCCTATACTCTAATAATGAAACGTCAGAAAAAATGTAGAAAAAATAATTCCTTTTGCAATTGTAACAAAAAGAAGAAAATACCTAGGAATAAATTTAATGAAACATGTGAAGGACGACCTATGTAATGAAAACTACAAGACCTTATTGAAAGAAATCAAAGAAGATACAAAGAAATGGAAAGATACTCCAAAGTGTTCCACAGCCAAAGGTATTTGGAGAGTGTCTACTAATATGGTTAAATTGAGGAAAACTAGCATTTTTCATTGGAAAACTGATTTGTATTGGAAAAAACTACAGATACATCTATAAAAAAAATCAACAAAACAACAAACACCAACACTTCGGTGTAAAAGCTACTTTTCAGGAATTCCAAAAGTATTAAGATTATTGAACTTATCATAGCTCTGGCTTTTTGTATCCATAGTCATAGGAGAAATTAGGCTAACAGTTCTCAAAAGAGGCTTTCAATAAATTATTCTACATTTTACATTATAATACATCTGTAGTATGTTAACTATAACTATAAATAATAATAGCTAACATTAGAATTTATTATATGGCAAGAACTGTGCTGAATTCTCTACATACATTAAATCACATTTAACTGTCAAAACAAGTGAAATCAAGCAGTCTTACCTAAGCAGTAACATCCATGGCTGGCAGGGCTGCAAGTCCCACTATCACAGCTATTAGGTTGGTTCTCCACACTGCTATACAGACAGAAAGGAGAAAAGACCAAATAAATGGATTTGTATATAATTTCTTACCAAACGGCAAAACCAGCATCGGTGTCCCTAGTCCAGAGGGTGATACTGAGGCTGCTAAGGAGCCAGCTGTAGATATTTTACAGCCTGCAGCTATATCGCAAAAGAGAGGTGGCCAAGTCCTATGCTCACCTGAAACTAAGGAGGCAGATAAGGGACCACTCGTGGTTCTGTCTCGCAAGTCTGTTTATCAACCTTTGTTCTGGGTGGACTGGCAGTGTGTCCTGCCAAGATGTGGGTCAGACTGAGATTAACTGAGGCCTGTGAGAAGAGAAAGAAGCACCCTGGTAAAGTTGTTCACCTATATCTCCACGCTCCAGTTGTTCATGTATCTAACTAAAAATTCTATTCAGAAGCACTGGCCTATCAATTAGACATTCTCATTGTACTTTCTCTTAGGCAACACTGGGTAAGTGACTAGACTGTGACTTCCAGCAGGATAGAATAATCAAGCCTTTTGTGAAGGTCAAGCCACAATGAGGCTTTTTATATGAAGCCAGCTAAGTATGTACTAGATAGCATCAAGGTTCACCAGTGAGAGCCACATGTAGAACAGAGAAGTAAGAAATAAATGGCTCTACTTTCCTGATTGATTAATCTAGGTATAGCATGGGGTGTTGGCAATCACATATATCCCATCGTGACTGGTCA